GCAACCGTTTTGAATTATCCTCAGAATAGGGTACTCAGTTAAGAGCCAGCTTCTAGGCCCAGATGAGTTCAAAGTGCCCTGAGCCACACTGTGACTTGGAACACATTACCCCTTCCTGCTTGAGTTTCCTTATCTGTAAAATGGTGATGGTAATAGGATTAAATGAATAAAACTCTTACAACAGTGCTTGGCATGCAGTCAGTACTTTTGAAGGGTATATCACCGTTATGATTGTGATTTGGGTGGTAGAGGACAGACATTAAGAGCGTGAATTTTGGAGTCAGAGTGGTAGTTTAGATTCTAGCTCCACCACTGGCCAGCTTTGTGATCCAGAAAGTGTATTTAATCTACCTAAACCCCATTTGAAACACTCTACTTGGCATCTGCAGCACAATTTCATCTCAGTTCTCCTCGTTCTTCCCTGTGGCTTCTTCTCAGGCTGCTTTGCTGGTTCCTTCTGATCTTGCTGGCCTCTGGATATGGAGGTCAGGCCTTGAACCGCTTTCCCATTTGCACTCACTCCCTAGTGACCTTTTGAGGGCTCATGGCTTTAAAATGCATTTTCATATTTATTTAATAATTTCCAAATGTATTTCTCTAGCCCTCACCTCTCCTCTGAATTGCAGATTCATAAATCCAGTGGCCTATTCAATATTCGACATTTCCACTTGGATGTCTAAAAGGCATCTAAAATATTATATATCCAAAACTCCCACCTTGATTTCCTTCCCCTCCAATCTGTGCCTCTATATGCTCTCCTTCGCAGCAAATGGTAACTTATTGGTAACGCTCCTAGTCACTCTGCCCCCAAACCTAGACACCATCCTTCCCCTCCTTTTCGATCACACTCGTATCTAAATCCATAACTCATCTTGTTGGTTCTTCCTTAAAAACATATACAAACCTTGAACACTTCCTACCCCCCATTACCTCTCCTCTGGATCACTGCATTGTTCTCCAAGCAGGTTTCCCTGCTCCCACCCTCTCCATTAAATAGCCAGAATAAGTCTTCATCTCTCTCGAAGTACAAACCAAAGTTCTTCCTACAGCCTATAAAACCTTTCATGATGTAGCCTGCTGGTACTTCTCTCAGTCCATCTCCTTCCCTGCCTTACCAGCTCTGCTCCAGCTGCACTGGCCTCTTTGCTGTTCCTGGTAACACCACTTATGCTCTCACTGCAGGGCCTCTGTACGTGTTGTTCCCTTTGACTGGTATGTTCTTCCCCTAGATATAATCCATCCCCCTCCCAGATATGGGGGGAGAGAGAGAAACCACAAACTGAAAAACAAATGTACCAGGGTGAAAAGTACAGTAGCAAAAAATAAAGCAGATTAAGTGGATAGACCACTACCCGTCTGTCAGTTTGTCATACTGTGGTGGCTTGCATGTTGCTATGGTGGAAGCAATGACACTGGTATTTCAAATATGAGCAGGGTCACTCATGGTGGACAGGTTTCAGCTGAGCTTCCAGGCTAGGACAGATTAAGAAGAAAAGCCTGGTCATCTACTTTAGAAAATTAGCCAATGAAAACCTTATGGATTACAACAAATATTGTCCCATATGGTGCTGGAAGATAAGCCCCCTAGGTGAAATAGCCACAACAATGAACTCAAACATAACAATGATCATAAAGATGGCACAGGACTGAGCAAGTGGACAGAGAAGGCACAGGTGCAATTTAATGTGGCTAACACATTCACATTCTTTGGGTCTGTACTCAAATGCTATCTTACCAGAGAGACCTTCTGTGCCTATCTCATATTAAATTACACCAATGCCTTCTCTATCCATTCAATCTGCTTCATTGTTTGTCATAATACTTACAAATTAATAAACTGATTATCAGTTTATGTTTTCTCCCTCCCCTTCAACATGTATGATCATAAGTACCATAAGAGCAAAAACATTGTTTTGTTAATTGCTGTATTCCCACAATTAGAACCATGCCTGGCACACAGCAGGTGCTCAATAAGTATTTAATGTTAACTGAGTACACACCTATTCCAGTTATTTATAGATGTGTAACAAGCTAATCCAAAACTTCATGGCTTAAAACAACAACTATTTTATTATATCTTACTATTTTTAAGATCAGGAAATCAGTGAGGGCTCAGCTGGGTGATTCTTCTGTCCCATGTATTATTGACAGAGGTCATTTGGTGATATTTAGCTGGTGGATGAGCTTGTCTGCAGAGTCTAAGAGGGCTTCACCTACATGTGTGACACATTGGTGGGGATGGCTAGAAGACAGGGCTCAGCTGGAACCATTGCCTAGAGCACCTACCCATAATTTCTTCACCATGGCAGCCTCAGATAGTCATACTTTTTACATGGTGGCTCAGATATCCAAGAATGAGTGTTCCAGCAAATAAGGTGGAAACTGTACAGCCTTTTATAACCCGACATCGGAAAACGTACAGCATCAATTCCACCACGTTCTATCTGGTTGAAGCAGTCATAAGTTTACCCAGATTTCAAGGGAAAGGGACAAACACCCCATCTTTTGATAAGAGGAGTACTGAAGAATTTACAGTCATATTTGAAACTGCCACAACCCTATAACTCATAGCACATAGCATGGGGCGTAGGAGGTATTCAGGAAACTTTGAATTTGAGTCAAACGGTTGCATCAAAGTGGAATTATAGAATGGGATTTTCAGTTTGTTGTTAGTTGCCATCAGATCGGCTCTGACTCATGGCAACCTTATGTATAACAGAACAAAATGTTGCTCAGTCCTGCATCAACTTCACAATTATTGTTATGTTTGAGTCCACTGTTACGGCTATGGTGTCAATCCATCTCATTGAGAGTTTAACTTGTTTTCGCTGACTCTACTAACCATGATGTCCTTTTCTTGCAGTTAGTCTTAAGGGAGTAGATTGTTTGATACAGAGAATTAGGAAGAAAAATTAATTCTAAATAGTGTACATAATTTCAAAACCAAAAAGCAAATATCAAAACTCAATACATTGCTTCATAGCTATCACCATCGTTATCACTGATGCCAAATCAGAAGTTCCAGTTTCCCTTTCATATCCTCTCTATATGTCTTCCTTTGTCCCCAGAGAAGCCTCTTCATCTTTGTTAACTAAAATTCGTTCAAGCTACTTTTCTCCAGGACCCCAACAGACACTAAAGCAATCTGAGATACTGGATCTATAGGATCTGTAAATATGATGTTACACCCTCAGGACTAACAACTAACCCCTCAAAGCAAAGGAGAAGAGTTCGTGCTAAACAGTGAGAGGAAGTAGAACCTCAAAATCCGTGGGAATGTCAGTGGGTTGACTGGCATCATTTAAAACCACCTTCAACTACTCCCACTTTCAACCTACTCTTAGAGAGTACTTTCTCCACAGAAAATCAATAGACTCAAATTTGATAACACACACAGAAAGAAAACCATTGCTGACTTACCTCTTCACTCTGGAGGCATTTTATTAAGACAAATATTCAAAGATTACCCAAATGCCCTTATTTTCCAATAAACAGTGGAAAACTATACCCCAAAATTCCAAGGAGCTTGGATTTAAAGTCATAGGAAAAAGTCATTTATATAGAAGATGGGAGATGAGACATTCTTGACTTCTAGGGAAATGTTAAGCAGTTAATTCCACACATATACTCAAGTCTTTTCCTCTCTGAAAAAGACTGAGTCCCAGGTAGAACAACAAAGTATCAGCCTGTCCAATGAGTTGCTATAAAAAGAAGCCTATAAATATAAAACCCAAATTTATAAAATAAATATATTTTATCTCTAGCAATAAAGTTTCTGATGATATAATATGTAATACTTAAATCTCTTTGAAGAGAAAGGTATTATTACTATGCAAATCCTTTTGTCTTGCTTCTCTAACAAATCAAACTCCCAAAGGACAGGAACTATGTCTGTTCTTCCATCACAGTACAAACACTCTGTACAAGGATATGCTCTTAATAAATACTTCTTGAATATCAGTTTGGGGTCTATCAGACTAACAAACTTCTCACCACAGGTAGACAGTGAATGGTTAAAAGCAATATATTAAACCCTACAACGGTGCTCTAAACGAGAATCTATGCCCTCATATACAAGAGTGCCCACTTGGCTTTTCACTTTGCTAGGACTGCTGGAATGAAAGGGTGACCCGTATTACGGTGTGACTTCAAGTTTTAGCAGTGGCAGGTGGTGAGGAGAAGTAGGCTGTATGGAGGGTTCTGCCCCAGTGGCCTACGTGTCACTCCTCTGCCCTTGGCTTTAGTTCCCTCATTTGTAAAAGGCAAAATCTACCTGAGGTTGTTTAATTAGGTTCCTTTTCCCCTAAAAGATACTTGATGCTACTTAGTGTTTTTTTTAATTGCAAAGTCAGTTTTCAGCAATGTACTAAGTTTTCTACACATCTCTACTTAGTATCTTCAATCAATAGTCAAAAAAAAAAAATATATGAGGTTTTACGAGGAATATTATAATAAGTGCCCAAACCATACAACACTAACTGCGCTCCTGTCTAACAGAGATTCCAAAGTCTTAACGTTTACATTCACAAAAAGAAAGCTGGCTAGATATGCACTTTGAAGAATCTATTTATATTTAATTGTGTGACAAAAACGACACTGTGAAAAAGGATGTAAGAATTAAGGAAATACCATCAGATACCAAGCTCTTAGTCTTTAAAACTGAATTATAATAAACTTTAACTATTTCCTACCTTCTATGTTACCGTGACTTCAAAATGGATTTATTTTCTAAAAGGCTGGAGAGGAGGGGTGGGTAAAATGGCTAATGAATTAATCAGGGATTGCTTGGATATAATTATAAACTGCTAACTACCATGATTCAATTCAGACTTAAAAAAAGAAAGAAAGAAAATTAGACCTTATCAAAGAGACTACTTATGAGATTTAAGAAACTTACACGTTCAAGGCTGAGTGTTCAATATCACATTTCCAGTGGAATGAACTCTAAAAACGTCTACAATTAAAAACATAATAGTAAAAAAAAAAACTGAATGGCTTACTCTCTTGTTGGTGAGTTAGTGGAGGATTCCTTTTTTGAATTAGGAGAGCTCAGGCTTTGCAAAATAGAATTCTTTTTTTTGGTGAATAGGGTATCTCTTTCCTCCTCAGAGTGAATTAATTTTAAGGCTTTTATTCCATCCTTTCCCTCCATCTTGTCATATGGATTTGGCTGTGGTTCTGGACTCTTTAAAATCAGATCATCTTCACTCACAGAAACTGTGAGGTCACTGCTGCTGCTCAAACTTTCCTCTTCTTGCTCCTCCTGCGTTTTTCCGAAGGTCCTCTGTGACTCTGGGTCCCCCTGAGGAAGATGATCTATAAGAGGGGTATGAATGGATTACTGATCAGTGACTTCAGGAGAAGTGAGGTAAGACACTGCACCTCAAAGAGTGGAATTACTCAACAGTCAAAAACATGTAAAATAATCCACAACTGATTTTAGTATTTAAAAAAACTCATTAAAAATATTTTCCAAAAATATCATGGTGCACTTAAAATTCAGGGAATTCCCTAGCAAAAATATTTCCACTTAATGTATTTTAGAACTTACTGGAGTATCTGTTCGCCTGGAACAAAAGAGAAGGAACCCAAGAATCAGAGAAGAAACCGGACTGCTGGACTAACTGTTTCCATGAACCACTGTCTCCTCTACCTTGAGACCAGAAGAACTAGATGGTGCCTGGCTACCACTACAGAACATCTGATCAGGGACACAATAGATGGATCCTGATAGAAAGGGATAAAATTGTGGAACAGAACTTCAAATTCTTAAAGAATCCAGACTTACTAGACCTACTGAAGTGGGAAGTGTTCCCAAGACTATTGCCCTGAGTTATTCTTCAAACCCTGAATCAAAACTATCCCGAAGTAACCTTTAAACTAAGTTTAACAGTTTAGCTCAAAAAGTAAAGATTGTCACCCTCGAGTATCACATTCCTTTAAAAAATTATGTATATAAGACCAAATGGACAACAGCTATTCTAAAGCACAGACAAGAAGGTTGTGGGGTAGGGAGTTGAAGTTAATGGGAGTGAAACAACTAGAATAGAAATAACAAGAATGTTGACACAGTGTGAAAAGTGTAGCCATTATTTACCCACTTCATTTTCTGACAAAGAGATAAAATAAGACAGTGTTACTTTGTCCTTACATAAGACTGCTACCACCCAGAAAAACTGAATACCAACAAGCAATGGCAAACCAACTCAGCCTCTTCTCCTACCTAAGAAATCTTCCCAAGCAGAGCGGTTCTCTTGAGAACACTTATTTTCAAATGCACAGTATTCTGAAACTGTTATCGGAGAGACTGGCAGTCTGGCTCTTTCTTCCTTGACTTCAATATGTTCCCGTGTCAGTATTTCTTCCTCTGATCCCTCTGATCTGCTGGAACTGTCACACTTTAAATCAGTAGTTCTGTTCTCTGGACTTAATCCTTCCTGTAACGGGGAATGAAGTTCAGCAGACTTTTTGCTTTCAGATAAATTGCTGTGGCGTGTGTTGCTTCCTATCTCCAAGCAGTGAGTTTCCTCCCCCTCAGACAATACATCGGCTGTGACTGGCGTTTCCTCGCCAATCTGAAGAGATGTCTTTCCATCTGTTTTGTCAGGCTTATTTAAGCACTGTGTATCACTATCAGTTTGTACTACACAGCTGTCTGTCACATTACTGCTCTGGGTTGTCTGTCGGCATGAATGTGGGTTAGGAATTGAAAAGTTCTTTGTGGGCTGGGGAGATTTCTGCTCTGTACTGAAATCTCCAATGCTTGAGATGGCTGACATTTGGCGGCCCATAAAGATTGTTGCTGGCTGATACATTCCTCCTGACACGGCTGTTCCCAAGTTAATTCCCGCCTGGCTTGCGACCTGCAACACCAAAAGAGATATGAGTAAAATCTACTGTGTATGAATAATATAGCTTTTTTCAGAAATTAAATGAGGTAAAAGAAATATAACCACTGAAATCAGTATCTACCACATTTTATACAACTCATGGCATTCTACACAAAAAACGAACGAAAAACAGTATTGTCCGTACTATTTAATTTTAATGACAATAGTGTTTCACAAAGCAAATATTATCAAAGACTAGGAAATTCAAATTTTTCAAAAAAAGATATATAGAAAAGCCTATGGGGATCTCAAAATGTTATTTCTGGTATGTGTAAATATAAAAAACTTCTAATAATCACCTTCAGAAGTGCATTAAAATACAATGTATCATGTATAGAATAATTCCAAGTCAAATTGCAAATAACAATACCAATTCTTCCTGAGCACCTTTAAGTAATTTTAAAGATATTTAAAGTAATTTTAATTTACCAGCATGTCTATGGGGAAAATGAGCATGGTCTCTTCCTTTAGAGAGAGAGAGAGAAACAGAAGCAACTGACTCAGTGGCTTGATCAAGGACACAAGGTGGGAAGCAGAACTGGAAACAACAACCATGAAGTGTTTAGGAAGTTAAGAAATTTCCTTCCAAAGGGAACAAAGCACTTCCACACACACAACAGCATTTATTTCAGAGGATTATGGAGTACATGGGGGGATGTATTCGCACCCTGTGTTAATAACTGACATTAGAAATAGCTAATAGAAATAACAACTGACACAGAAATAGCTAATTTCTAAAACGTAAAAATAATATCCCCACTTTCCCACTTCATCATCCTGACATGGCACTTTCTCTCTCTGACCCTGACCACCCGAAGCTGTGTCTCGGCACGTTAGAACTCTGTCCTTACAAAACCAAACCAAACCCGACGTGGTCCAGTCACTTCTGACTCATTAGCGACCCTATAGGAGAGAGTAGAACTGCCCCGTAGGGTTTCCAAGGAACAGCTGGTGGATTCGAACCACCACGATTCTGGTTAGCAGCTGGGGTCCTACCCACTGTGCCTCTGTCCTTACAGCCCCTGCCAAACAGGAAGAAAATGCCAGTATCTCTTCTGGCTCTCATTGGTCCCGGTGGGTTTGGTAATTTGCTAGAATGACTTACAGAACTCACAGAGACTTCCTGTACTTACAGTTACCCATTTATTATAAACAGAAAGGATACAAGTGAAAAGACACATCAGCCAAGGTCTGGGAGAGGTCCGAGCAGCATGAGGCTTCCACTATTCCCAAGGGTGTGCCATACCCTTTCCTGTGTATAGATTTTCTCACCAATCCAAGAAGTCCTCCAAAAAAGACAGAGCTCCAAAGTCCAGGGTTCCTTAAAGTCAATGGAACTTTAATGTATATGTATGACTGGAGCCTAATACGTATGCGTGAATCAATAAATACATACGATTGAGTCCATCACATCCCCTCCTCTTCTGAGGTCTGCTGCCAGGGTGGGGACTGTAGAGTCCCTACTAGTTTACACTTGTTTAAGTGTTGCCTGGCTATTTGATAAAACTAAGTCCTCTTGACTGCTAGCAAATTCCAAGGGCTATTTTCAGAAACCAGTCCCCCCCACTCCTATTCCACAAATGGAAAAACTGATGTCCAAAGTTTAGGAGATAAAATGTCACACCCGTAAAACCCACTGCTACTGAGTCTATTCCAACTCATAGTGACCCTATAGGACAGAGTAGAACTGCCTCATAGGGCTTCCAAGGAGCGGCTGGTGGATGCTGACATTTTGGTTAGCAGCCGAGCTCTTAACCACTGTGCCACCTTCTCTTAAAATATACCATCTCTTTTATTCTCAAAATAAAAAAAAACACCTTTGGAGTTTAAAACAAACGAACAGGGATATCAGTGAAAATGGCAAGTAACCACCTCTGAAAATCCTCTGCTCTGTAAAAGAAATTATAACACTGGCAAAAATATCCACAATCAATTTTTTCAAAACTCTGGAAATTAACCAAAGGCTAGAAGCAATCCTGGGAGTGGCTGTTAAAGAAAAAGGGATGAATCTTGGCAAGAACAGCAAGCTCTGTGGCAATTTATTTATTTTTTAATTTTTTATCGTGCATTAGGTGAAAGTTTGCAAAGCAAATCAGCTTCCCATTTGATAGTTTATACATAAAGTGCTCCGTAACATTGGTTTCATTCACCACAATGTGACAGCACTTTCCCCATTTCTGTCCCAGGTTCCCTGTTTTGTTTTGTCCTGATGTTCTATCCCTCCCTGCCTTCTCATCTTTGCTTTTGGGGAAATGTTGCCCTTTTGATCTTGCATAATTGATTGTTCTAAGGAGCACACTCCTCTTGGGTGTTATTGTTTATTTTGTGGGCCTGTCTATGGTTTGGCTGAAAGGTGGTCTCCGGGAATAGCTTCAGTTCCAGTTCAGGAGGGTGTCTCAGGACCACAGTCTCAGAGGTTCCTTCAGTCTCTGTAAGACCAGTATGTCGGGTCTTTTTGGTGAATTTGACTTTTTGTTCTACAATGTTTCTCTCCCGCTCTGTCCAGGACCCTCTGTTGTGATCCCAGTCAGAGCAGCTGGTAGTGGTAGCTGGGAACCATCTGGTTCTTCTGGTGCTTTGTGGCATTTTAACTTGCCCTATTCGCATTCCCCTCTTCAGGTGTGCAGTAGCTTTGAAAACCAACAGCCCACAAACTGCAATAAAAACCAGCAGACTGGCAGCCAGGAGAAGGGGCAGAACAAGGATGGAGCTCCTTTAAAGCCCCATTCCCAGAGAACTGTCATTATTTGACCTATCTGGTCCAAAACCCAAAAACCAAACCTATTGCTGACTCATAGCAACCTTGAAGGACAGAGTAGAACTACCGTTGAGGTTTTTAAGGAGCAGCTGGTGGATTCGAACTACCGACCTTTTGGTTAGCAGTCTTTTGGTTAGTAGCTCTTAACCACTGTGCCACCAGGGCTTCTCCACCTAGCTAGTGGTTCCCTGGAAAAACCCACTTGCAAGGCTCTCTTATTTGACCTGACTCAGAGCTTATCCAGCGTAAACAGTCTTTTCCCTGGAGATGTTTATCAAAAAAAATCAGAGGCAATTGTTTAACATTCAGGCTGCCTGAGGTAGTGAACAACATTTAGAGAAAACAACAGGCTAACCCTAAAACGTTTAAAAGGAAAAGCTGGTGAATGAGATGTCCACAAGGGGCTTTGATAAGCTCCAACAAATCCCTGGGAATCTAGAAGGCCATGTGCATACTCAGGAAAATACCTCAGAAGGACCTAAGCCCTCAACTCTGGCTTAACTTGAGGGTTTGCACAAGCAGGAAGTAAAGGCTAAAGTACAATTGTAAGTTGCCTGGATGAGTGCTGAAGGCATGCCCCAAAACACGCACAGTGCTTCTTGGCAAAGACTATGAGACTTATTGGTTCCAGGTATTTAAGAAAATCTGTCTAATCATTAGCTAACAACAAAGCCAACTGAACAGAAAGTTCAGTGGCCACACATGATAAAGAACATAACTTTCACAGAATTTTATCAAAAGTCAATAAACAAGTGCAACAATAGCAACCAACATCAACAACCAACTCTGAGTGGGGGAGCATCTGATTTTCAGAGTTGTCAAATTATTTAAAATAACCATTCTTCAGCAAAAATCATGACACATGGAATAAAACAAGAAAGTATGTACCATATACAAGGGGGAAAAAGCAATCAATAGAAACTATCTGAGGAAGCACAGATGTTGGACCTATCAGACAAAGGGTTTAAGTTAGCTATTTTAAACATGTTCAAAGAACTAAAGAAAACCATGTATTAAGAACTATAGGAAACTATGAGAACAATGCTTCACCAAATAAAGATAAAAATTTATATATATATATGTATATGCACAGAGAGAGAAAAAAATGAATCAAATAAAAATCATGAAGTTGAAAAGTACAATGGTCAGGATGAAAAATTCACCAGAGAGCTTGACAGCTGATTTCAGAAGGCAGAAGAAAGAATCATTAAATTAGAAGACAGGCCAAATGAGACTATCCAGACTGAGGAACAGTAAGGAAAAGTTAATGAAAATAACAAAAAAAAAATGAACAGAACCTTAGTGACCTGTGGGACATCTTCAAACATACCAACACATGCATAATGAGAGTCCCAAAAGGAGAGGGGAGAAAGGGGCAAAAGAATATTTGAAGAAATAACAGCTGAAAACTTCCCAAATTTGATGAAAAATATTAATATATACATGCAAGTTCAACGAACTTCAAGTAAAATTAGCTTAAAGAGATCCACACCTAGATACATCATTATCAAACTACTGAAAGAAAAAAACAGAGAATCCTGAAGGTAGAGAAAAGGGACTCATCAGAAACAATGAGGCCAGAAGGCAGCGGGATGACATATTCAAAGTACTAAAAGAAAGATTGTCAACCAAGAATTCTGTATCCAGCAAAACTGTCCTTCAAAAATGAAGGAGAGAGACTCCGGCAAGATGGCGGTCTAGGCAGAAGCACCACGCCGTCCCTCCACAACAAAGATCCGAAAAACTAAGCCAAACAGAGAATCAACAATCCTGAAACCCTAGAACATCAAAT